ACAAGGTGCACGTAAGAATATCTCAGTCGATGGATTAATAGATATTAAAAAAAAAAGATAATTCCCCGTGATTTTTATATCGAATGCAATAATTTTTAATAAGAAAATTAGGTTAAACCCCCCATATTAGAAACCAAATGCAGTCATTTTTCCTTGGCGATTTGGTCAGATATAACTCCGTCAACAAAATGAACCAAAAGTTGGTGAGATTGCAATATTTTTGCCTTTGCTTCTAGAAACTCTTCCCTCCAACCCCCCCCTAAAAAATATTATATCATCAACTCGATTCTATAATTTTGGATAATGTAACCGCCATCACGACCGTCCAACATGCATACTTTATTGAAGGCGGATTTTTAGGAAGATCAGGAGCCTTGCTTCCATCTAAAGTTGACCTTTTGGATCTGAAGTGGGTCCTACGTTTCCAGTTGTTGAGAATCATTCGAAAACATCCGGCTATTGGTCGTGTTTACGGTTTTTTCGTGTCTTCAATTACACATAATAATAATAATAATAATTATTATTATTATATTTATTGAACCCATAAAATAAAATAAAAATTAAATGAAAAATGTTTGGGTGTCTAATTATATATATTCTTTTAGTGTCTCATAATATAATGAATTATTTCTGTAGTAATAAGTTGCGATTATTCGAAATATTAATTTAATTTGAATGTATGTCACTCTTTACATCACTCTTATATTATATAATTTAAATAATATAGATATGGCTAACCTTATCTTAATCAAAACTTGCCAAATAAGTATTGAAAAAATCAACAATTACCAAATCTAAATATTAAAATATATAAAAATAATTAAAATACTTATATCCTTGAGCATTTACAAAATTTATTAATATCTTTAAAATTTTAAAAAAATGTTTTCTTTTCGGTCCCTGATTTTTTTAACTTTGTTGTTTTTGGCCCAACTTAAAGAGGAAGTTTCAAATGAGAGACAAAATTTGAATGTGAAATAAAAATAAAAATAATAATAAAGTTACGAAAAAATAAAATCGTCTTTGTTGCCTTGTGGCTGATTACTATTCACATGTAACAAAAGTCCAATTTGAGGGTAATTTCGTCATTTCAAGAAAAGGTAGTAGGTGCGTGGGGGCCACGCGTCGTACCATTGCCCAACCGTGAATAAAGTCAATGGGTAAAAACATCACCACCTTCTCAATCAACCCCAATTCTCATATCTAACCTTACTCGATAGAGTTTCCATTCTTCATAATTAACCTTCCACGAATCTTATAATTTTTTTTCTCATTTCGATTTTATTGTCTGTTTGAATTATTATTAACTAAAAATTAAGAATTTGGATAAGTTTATTTAGATTTGCTCGAGATTATTGCATTTTTCGAACCATTATTAACCCGATCGAGATCATTTTTTAGATAAGCTTAAAATAATTGGGTTTAGGTCATGTTAGTTGGTAATGATTGAAAATAGTTGTATTATTTTTTATTGATGGGTGGAGGGAGTATATATATATATATATATATATAGACGTTTATGCGCATTTACATATAAGTGATAAACGATTAATAAAATTCTAGCATATGATCTCTATATTACAATAGATGAATTTTAATATAACATAGGATGATTTATATCCTAATGTAAGAAATGTTCAACAAAATCTTTTTTTTTTTTTTTCACTTTTGAATTTAATTAATTCAAAAAATTAAATATGATTTTGACACGTGTACACACTTTTGGATTGAGTAATATAAGGAAAAATTAAAGTTTGAAAATGCTACCTGTTGAATGATGAAAGTCCCACATCGGTTAATTTAGGGAATGATCATGAGTTTATAAGTGAGAAATACTAATTCCATTGGAATAAGGCCTTTTGGGAAGCCTAAAGCAAAGCCATGAGAGCTTATACTCCTTATTTACTAAGGCAAATATTAGATGTCTTATTATCATAGGTTCTAAATGTTAACAAACTCGTAGAAACGAAAATTGTATTTTTCAAATAAAAATTATTTTGAAATAAATATTAATAATTAATAAAAAAATAAATATAGAATTGATGGGGTGAGGGAAAGAAAATCTAAGAAAAATATCGCAACCACTTCACCCTCTAATTTGGATTTTCACCAAATGAACCAAGAGTTTCAAATATTTGAAAATTAAACACGTTAGTTTTGACCCATAATTAAAAATTATTCTGCTCTTTGAATAATGTGTACGATATTTATGACATCATCATGTTTTCATCATAATTACGTAATTCCTTTTTATTAATTTACTTGGGAACCAAGCTTATCCAAAATAATTGGTAAATTTCCAACTATTTCCAACCTCATCTAGAATGTTCCATGTTATTATTAATGTTTTTATTTTCTTAATTTTATGGATTAGTTGGTGTATCTCAACTAATTAAAATGTCCCATGTTTAAATTATAAAAATAAAAGCATGTTCTTTTCTGTAATTTTTAAAAATTACCGTGGGTAAATTCAACTTGAGGTAACTTCTGTTAATTTTAATGGAATTGCCACGTGTGCATGTATGGCCGCCCATGTGAAAAATTAACAAATGTTTGGTAAATGTCACTCATTCCATTGTGGTGGATATTTTTTTTTTACCGTTAAATAGTAAACGCATCTTATACAACCCAACTCTCTATTTTCAAATTGGTTGAGTTGAGTTGTCTTCGATGTTCATTATTTTTTATAATTATTTTAAAAAATTCATACTTCTGCCATACATGTTACATTAATATTAAAATTTCATAAAATTCAAATATCAAACATAATCTTAAAAATATGGTTGGTTGGGCTATAACTCTATTTTGCAATTGGTCGAATTAACCTGATTAAAGAAATGTTAACACGCGAACCGATCCAAACTTTTTATTTTCAAAATATTCAACCTAACCCAAATCGAAAAAAGCTAACTTGGTTGGTTGAGTTATTGAGTCGTATGATTACCATAACCGAAAAGTATCAATCGAAAATAATTGGGTTTTTGAAAAGTGGTTAGTGGATAAACCAATATTGGATGGGATGATTAGGCCTTGGCCCATAGGCAACAAATGGCTTAAATTTCAAATCTATAAGATTTTTTTTTTTCTATTTTTTAATTCCATTTATTATGTTTTATACATGTTGAAATTATTTTTTTTAGTTTTAAAATAGCTTATTATTTTAAACACATTTTAAATGATAAATACATCTAATCTAATGCTCTATAGTTTTTAAGTAATTTTTAATTTGGTCCTTTCACTTTCTAAAATTATCAATTCTACCCTTGGTGTTGAAAAATGTCTCACTTAAATTTCAACATAAAAAAAAAATGTTAAATTTTGCTAATATAAGGTTTGGGTGTATTTAACCCGGTTCAAAGAAATAAAATTTTTAATAGCTCGATAAATATAGAAATGTTTTAAATAAGTTATATTTGTAACTGAGTGACCACATACACACCTTGTTGGTATATGCAGTAATCGATCCCACTATTTGACCTACGATTAATGGTAAAATCTATTTTTTTTAACTCTTATGTACTTTGACCTACCTAGTAATTGTTGGAGGATGAAAGTCCCCATCAGCTAATTTAAGGAATGATCATACGTTTATAAACAAAGAATATCTTATTCAAACTTTAAAATTTTTCAAAAAAAAAAAATTTAATAACTTTTTCATAGTACTTATATGGATGGATTGATGAATTTATAAGACGACTCATGGGTCAGCTCTCGATGAGTATGTTTGTACGAGTAGTAAAAGCTAATGAAATCTCGAGACTTGAAATAACATCACGAAGTATTGGTTGGACTCAACAGTTCTTGATTATCGTTCTATTTGTCTTGAAAAATTCCTTAATAAGCTTTAATTTGCATCATATGCTCTGAAGAAGCGTTACAATACCTTAATAGTTAATGGTAAGTATTAAGGCTGTTTTGGGCCAACCAATGATCCAAACACAATCTAGTGAAGTTTCAAAATTGACATACAAGTGTGCCAGTCGGCTGAGAACCAAGATGACGAGAAGGAGGAGTGCGTCGAACGTTTTGAAAACACCCAAAAAGCGATAACTCATATGGTTTCAAACCTGTCTAAAGATGTAAAAACTTTTCTTGATGCAGTAAGACCAAAATGACAGATTTAATCGGTAGAAAACCAAATGACAACATAATTTAATAATATTAAAGGCTATGTCAAACCGTTTTTTGTGTTGACATTACCCAAAATTTGGGGTTGAAGGCTATATCAAAGGCTATGTCAAAGGTGGGGTTTATGGCTCGAACACACAGATCGTTACGTATAAATAGTTTATATCAATGACGACCTAAATTTTAATTGAGTGCGTGCTAAGTTTGAATTATTATAAAGATTTAATAATTGGACTAATTTTTTTTTCTTTTCTCAAACAATAATTTAAAGCTCCCATGTCATTCCCCACATCCAATCAAGATATTTTGACAAAAGAGAAAAAAATAAAAAAAAAAAATCTACAGAAGAATACACGAATATCTTTAAAGATATTTCGTCCACGTCATCATGTACGCCAGCTTGAAAAAGACCCGCCGTCACGCAACCAACGTTCCAACACGTGGCTAGATATTATTGGGCCTTATTTACCATTGCCCATTCTTAATTATTGGTGTTTTTTAATTTGTTATTCCCTGAAATACGCGTGTATTTTAGTAGTAATTTCATTTAATTTATGTAACTTTAAATATTTAAATTTAACTTCTATATTTCTAACTAATTTTAAGAATAGTAATTAAGTTTTTTTTTTTCATCTAATTAAAAAAAAATAGTAATAATAATCTTATTTAAAAATACACATAATAATGAGAATATATTTTTAGATTTTTTTAAAAAATGTTTAAATATTGAAAGTATAATGACTAAAATATAATTAAAAATTATGCTTATTTTCTTAATTTCTCCGGATTTTAATTTATGCCGAAAAAATAGAAAAAAAAAAAAAAAGAATTGTTCATTTATTTATGGAAGGGTATTTTAATAAGGAAAGCCTGAAAATTGCTCCCATCAGATTCCCCATTTTCCACTGCTAAATAGCCCATTGGGTTTCGTCTTCTTTCCTAACTCTGTGGAGGGAAGAAGACTGAGGGTGAGAATCTGCCAATGGAAATGGCTCACCGTTTGCTCTTCGTCTCCTCTGTTCTTCTGATTCTTTCCTGCGCTGTTGCCGAATCCGTCTTTGATGATTCCAATCCCATTCGAATGGTCTCTGACCGTCTCCGGGAGTTGGAGTCGGAGGTCGTCCGAGTCGTTGGTCACACTCGTCACGCTCTCCGATTCGCTCGATTTGCTCACAGGTTCATTTGATCGTGTCTCCATGATCCATTCCTTGTAGTTAGGCTTTTTTTTTTGTACTCAGGTGAGATTGTTGTGGATTGTTTCAGGTATGGAAAGAGGTATGAGACAGCGGAGGAATTGAAGCTTCGTTTCGGAATTTTCTTGGAGAGTTTGGAACTGATCAAATCGACTAATAGACAAGGCCTTTCTTACAAACTTGGTCTCAATCGTAAGTCATAGGATTGATGTCTGATTTTGAATAGTTCGCTTGAAATGTAGGTTTATGAGAATTTATCGATTTGTTCGTTGTGGAAATAAGATAATTATTTTGACTTGTGATTCGGATGGCTATCTGTACGAGTGATTCTACTGATAATTATCTCGCTTAACGTAATTAGTTCAGAAAGAGGGAGAAGATGATGCTGAATCGATGATGATGCTTGTATTTTTTTATTGCTGCAGACTTTGCGGATTGGTCGTGGGAAGAGTTCAAGAAACACAGGCTAGGAGCTGCTCAAAACTGCTCTGCTACCGCGAAAGGCAACCACAAACTGACTAATGTCGTTCTTCCTGAATCGGTATATCCTTTCGTCGACTCTCGACAACTTGAATCCTGAATTACTGATATTTTGTTTGAACAAGCTGGAGGGTGAACATTACAAGAATTCTGACCCAAATGATTTTGGTTTAGTCTAACTGACTTCTATAGTTCTGTTTTATCTCGTCATAACTGACCTATGTTCTGCAAAAGTTTACGTTCCAGTTTATTATACATACAATTTTCCCATTCTTTGCAATGGAAGCAAAATTTGAATTTTTAATTTTTTGAATTTATTTCTCTTTGAATCCAAGACAAACTTCCTTCTTGATGTTCTACCCCTTTCCATCACACATTTTATCGGCAATTTGGGATGAACAGCCAATCTTTTTGTCCAAGCATGAGCCACTATGGAACACTCTAATTTCACTGCATACAAGTGATCAAATGAAACTATGATATTCATTTAAGAAAGTTACGGTTTGCCACCAACCGAATATTGAAAATCGGGTCTATCTTAGTTAGAAGTACACGCATTCAAACAATTTTTTTACGCTGAGTCTTTGTTTACATACTGTCTACGTCCGCTATACAGAAAGATTGGAGAGATGATGGCATTGTCAGCCCTGTTAAAGATCAAGGCCACTGTGGTTCTTGCTGGACATTCAGGTTAGCTCTATCTTTTCCACTTGGTCGAGGATAGAAATATAGGGATAAGATGCTCAGGGTCAACCAATATTTATGCATAAAATTTCTTTTGATTTGCCGTTGCAGTACAACTGGAGCTCTTGAAGCGGCCTATAGACAAGCACATGGAGAGGGAATCTCCCTGTCCGAGCAGCAGCTGGTGGACTGTGCAGGAGCTTTTAACAACTTTGGCTGTAATGGTGGACTGCCTTCCCAAGCTTTTGAATACATCAAGTACAATGGTGGCCTTGCCACTGAAGCAGCATATCCTTACACTGCAAAGAACGGCGAATGCAAATACATGTCTGAGAATGTTGGAGTCAAAGTCATCGATTCTGTGAACATCACTCTTGTAAGTGCAAGGACCAATTTCCTTTATTTATCGTTTTGGGAAATCTCACATCGGTTGAAGAGGAGAATGAAACACTCTTTATAAGGGTGTGGAAACCTTTCTCTAGCCGCGTTTTAAAAATCTTGAAGGAACCTCAAGAGGGAAAGCCCAAAGAGACAATATCTGCTAAGGGTGGGCTTGGGCTGTTATAGATGGTATTAGAGCCAGACACCGAGCAATGTGCTAGCGAGGAGGCTGAGCTCCGAAGGAGGTGGACACGAGGCGGTGTGCCAGCAAGGGAGATGGCCCCAAATGGGGTGGATTGGAGGGTCCCACATCGATTGGAGAAGGAACGAGTGCCAACGAGGACGCTGGGCTCCAAAGAGGGGTGGATTGTGAGATCTCACTTGATTGGGGAGGATAACGACTATAAGGGTGTGTAAACCTCTCTTTGGAGGCCCTTTTTAAAAATCTCGAGGAGAAGTTCAAAAAGGAAAATCCAAAGAAGACCATATCTGTTAGCGGTGATCTTGGACGGTTACAAAATTCTTCGGGGCAGAGTTGGCACAAGCCCAATTAGTATTCAAAAACCGTGTTACAATCTTTTTCTAATTGTTAGTGGCTATATATGCAGGGCGCTGAAGATGAATTGAAGCATGCAGTTGCTTTTGTTCGACCAGTAAGCGTAGCATTTCAAGTGGTGAAAGGTTTTCGCTTATATTCAAAAGGAGTTTACACCAGTAATTCATGCGGCAGTTCTCCTCAGGTTAGCATTAACTATTTTGTTGGCTCTGTAAAAAGTTTAACATGAATGTCATCATCTTCAGTCAGCCAGCAGTGGCATGGTAACGTGATAAGATCACGTCTGACAGTTTCTGGTTTCAACTGGCAGGATGTAAACCACGCCGTGCTTGCAGTTGGTTATGGGGTTGAAGATGGTGTCCCATACTGGCTTATAAAGAACTCATGGGGACCAAAGTGGGGTGACAATGGCTACTTCAAGATGGAGATGGGCAAGAACATGTGTGGTAAGTTTTCTTTAGTTCAAAATTTGTTCGTTAGGAAAAATTATTGAGCGAGGCTGCCACAATGTATCTGCTCTCTAATACATAGCCGCTGAATTTAAATTCAAATCAATATATCCTTTAATAACCATTGAATATAAATTTAAAGGTACATTTGACAATCTCTTTTAAATCAACGAAGGTAATCTTATCATCTTCATTGTGATAGATCTTTCTCCAGCTGATTCTCATTTGGTTACCTAAACACAATCACATTGTGCCAATATTATGTTAAATAATTTCTGGTTATTGTAACAATGAGATGGTAACAGGAAACCAAACAAATAGTGGCCAAGTGTTCTTCATGGGTTCCTGTATTGATAAAAATATTTGGGCTTTTTCAGGTGTTGCAACTTGTGCTTCATACCCCATTGTCGCTTAGAGTTGGAGAATGGCCAAGCTTCTTACGGCGATGGTAAGGTATGGCTATGGTGGCTCAATCTGCAAATTAAAGTTCCCAAGTCATGGAGTTCTTATTTAATACAGACTGTAATGTAATGTATTGGTTATAGATCTTTAAGCTCTTGTAAATTTGCATATTCAGTGATTCTTAGGTTTGTCTTCATAAGTTACTGGTGGCACTGTTTGGAACTTGGAACCTTTCATTACAAATAAACTTATTTTCTTTCAATTCCTTTTTTTTTTAATCTAAGTTTTAATCTTTATTTTGATGGATCATCAAATTACTGAAAGAATATTATATTTGAGATTTTACAAGGTGTTTTCAAATTCCCACCCTAATTCGAAAATAGTCGCTTTCTTTTCTTTTATTGTACAATTATTTATATATTTCGAATTCTACATTTTTGTAGTTGACACAATTTTTTAAGAATGATAAATATAAAAACGAAGAAAGTAAAACACTAAGCAACTAAAGTGTCACGATTGTAGGAGTTGCGATACTACTCGAAAGGATGGTTTCAATATTTCCCATACGTAATCCTTTGGATAGATGTTGGGGCGGACGAACACTAAAATGGAATAGACCCACTTCTAATATGCCCAACGTACCCGCTGAAATATGATGAGAGACTATTCCGCCTGGAACAAAAGGATTAACCCTTCGACACTCCACGCAGGATTTAGAGCCTGTACCCTTATAGTTAATCCATAAGGATCGGACACCCATATTCCCGGACCATACAATTCGGTTACATGAAATGCACCAAATCCAAAGCAACCCAACCCTGAGAGAAATAAATGAATTCCAAAAATCTTCGACAAATCCAAAGAAGGTTTTTTACGTTTATCCAATACACCCTATACTAGATAGCTGCCAATGAGAGCTCAAAGTTTGAAAATCTTTTCGTTCTTCTTTCCCTTGTGTGTTGGAATATATTTTGTAAAAAAGAAAAAAAGAAAAAAACTTTTATGAACACAAACATTAATTATAAAATTTTAAAAAATTAGTTGAACAAATATATTTGAGATTGAGGATACATGCTTTTAGAATGCAAGTAATTTTTATTTAAAATTTATTAATAATGTTGTGAAGAATATTAACTGATCTTGACATTTCAACCCGTGAGTTGGCGGTAGGAATATTAACTCGTCGGTCATCTCGTACTCATTCCGTTACGACCAAAAGATTCCTATGCTGATATTTGTTGCAGAAGAATCAGTCTCTCTCTCCCTCTCTCTCTCTGGAAAAATCACCGATCATCGAAATCGGAGAAGCAAAATTGGCGGTAACGAAAAGCTTCCACTGCGCAATTCCGTGTCCAATTCTTCTTCCATCTCCGTTTAAGCGTCTACATTCCAAACATGGCAGCGGAGAGGCACGCCTCTTCGCGCGCAACATCATCTCAAGACAACGCGATGTAAAAATTTCCATAAATTTCAAGCGTTTGATTGCATTTTTTTTGTTTATTTCAAGCGTCCGATTGTTCGAATTCAGACTCCGCTATTTCTATGTTTTTGGAAATTTCAATTTAAGTTATTCCTCTGTAGTATTCTTCGTGATTTCAGTGCGAATCCGACTGTCGAATGTTGAATCGACTTGCCTGAATGTTTTTGGATGATGAAAATTCTACAGCTAATCCTACATCGCCTGAATGTTATAATCAAGTAATACTATCACCAATAGAATAAGGCCTTTTGGGGAAGCCAAAGGAAAGCCACGAGAGCTTATGCTCAAAGTGGACAATATCATACCATTGTGGAGAGTCGTGTTTGTCTAACACTCTGAAGTATTCTTCGTGATTTCAGTATGAATCCGACTGTCGAATGAATCGACTCGCCTGAATGTTTTTTACTGTCTATCTTCCTTCGGTATTGATAGTTCATTGGACTGGTACAGGTTTCTTGATATACTGCATGAGGCGCCATTATTTGGTCATCGGAAGCCTGCAAGAACAATTGGGAGCATAATTTATTGTCTTGTTTTGGCAAGTATAATCTCCATCTAAATGAACCAAAATCCATTTGTAATTCTAGTTAGGAAAAGTTCGATAGTTCTTGAATTGGCTGGCTTACTGTATTACTTTGTTTGAAAAGGCTGAAATGATTGCGTTTCTCCCCGATTTAGGTTGGCTATGCTGCTCTGGCTATTGGAGCACCATGGATTTTTCATCCTATAAAGCACTTGGTTGAACCGTTGCTCTGCAGTTGTGATGTTGTTCTGTTGATGCTCACAGGTGTTCTAATAAAGTCCAGAGCTATACTTACTCAGATAAACTAAAACTAACTATTTTCTGGCGAAGTGACAATTTTATTTTCTGTTATTTATGTAGCCAGTTTACTTTTCGTCATTGCAAGGCTAAAAGTTTCTATTTAGTTCATTCTTAGGAATTCGAGCTGTTGAACTCGAATATTTTAACTCAACATCTTGACATATAATTTTTTTTTGCTCAATAATTCAACTAAAGAGATATGGTTATGGAACTTTATACTTGTTTAGAAATTAAACTGCGGTTTACTATTTCAGGTATCTTTCAGCAGTATCTAGTATACCAAGTTCATAAAATTCGTTTGCAGGTACTTACATTTATCAATTAAGAACTTTTTTTTGCTTCCTCTCTCCTTTGAAAATTTGAAGAGCTTGAAGGTTTTAAAGATTGAAGTTGCGATATGAACTAAAAGTACTATTGATTGATATTGGTGATGAAGAGAAAATGTTTCCTTAGTGATGACTTCGTTTTCTGTTGGTTGAACGTTCGCGATCTGCTAGATTAGTTATTTCTGTTGCAATATGTTTTCTTGAAGGAAGCCTGTCTTTTGGTCAATCTGGTGTTTCATTTCATGTTCTGTGGTTTACAATGCATTTGAATGGATTATTTTTTCTTTCTCATTTGCAGGGTTATTATAGCTTTAGCCAGAAGTTAAAGCATATTGTTCGTCTACCTTTCGCAGTTACTGCATATGGTATGTTAGATAGCTGTGCTGACTCGGTCTTTAAAAATCTTCACATTTTTGGGGTGTTCCTAAATGCCACATGGCAATGAAGCGTTTTTACCTGTTTTACGTTTTTCGACGATGGTGGATCCCGATTTTAAATAATTGTTCAATATCAGGAACTGCTGCCCTTTTACTCGTCATGGTATGGGAACCTCAAATCAGTGCACTTTCGATTCCCCTAATTCTGAGGTAGTGAGGTTATACATGTGAATGTTGTCTAGTAGTTTTTCCAGTTAACTGTTTTTTACTTTCATTCCCTTCATCTTCACCTTCCCATGGCGATATCTTTTATTAAGACCATGTATCTGATCACCCAAAGATGTTCTATTTATATTTTCTGGATTTTATTACAACCATGGATGTTCCATTATTATCATATTCTGACTAATTTTCCATTTTTTGTCATTTTGTTGCTTATTGATCGTATCATTAGAAGCTTCTCCTTTCAAAGCTTACTCCTTAGTTTACATACTTAATCCATGTCCCCATCTTTAGCTAGCTGTACACTACTGACAAAATGTTGTGCTGGATGCCCCTTTTATATCTGCAGGATGATTATGTTAATTGAAGCAGTATGTGCTGGATCGTTTATGATTATATATATCAGTAAGTTTTATGCATTCATGGGATCTCTTCAGGAGTTGATTGGTACCAATAGTGTTTTCGTTTATTGACTGGAATTGATTTGTCAGTAGTCAATTTTCCAAACACTGAAAATAGTTAAAGTTCTCCTCATAATCACTTTAAAGGCCTTTTGAAGCCTGCAAAATCAATTCCAAATGGAGCCATAGATGGCTGCACAGTGTACGGTAGTGTTTTGCTTCCAAGGTTTTTCCAGTAGAATGTGGTTGTGTTTGGATGATTTTGCATGCCTCAATAGTGATTATGAGGAAATTTCAATTGTTTTTAGTGTTTGGCAATGCTGGCTATAAATTAGTTTAGAGAAAATCACTCATTCAGTATGTTGTTTTGTAAAATCTAGTTATCAGTAACTTTTTAGATTAATTTCCCAAAGAATTTTATGGCTCTTCTAATCAATTCTTAAAGGAATTTTTTATCCTTACTTTATCCGACTTTGCCATGTTTATGTTTGAAACATAGCTGATTCTTAAAGCATTTCTGAATCAGATATTGCCAGCCTTTAAATCATATTTCGTTGGATGTATTCATCTTTTTATTTAATGTGATTAATGCAGGTTATGTGCAAAAGTACAATTCATTAAATTCTCAGCCTGATGTTTTGAAGTCATTGTATTCCCCACTTCAGCAATCAACTTCTTTGGAAGATCTAAGGTTATATTAAACTGATCACAATACGCTGCTCTTTAGTCTGTATCTACAGTCTAGGTAGTCACTGTTTCTTAGAAAGTAATTGTGCAAATGCATTTTCGCTATACTTGTTTGATTCTAATTGATTATGAGTTTCTCTCCTTACCCTATTTCCCAAAAAAAAAAAAAAAAACCCTTCTCCTTGTTCTGTTTTCATAAAATTGTCTTTTATAACATAAACGTTTGATTTCTTTCTCCCGACAAGAGTAATAAATCTTAGAGTTTCTTTGATGAAACTAAAAAATTCCCTTTGATTGCATTTTTTGAATTCTGTAAATACTGAACTAATATCCATAATTTTTCCTGATTCTTTGTAATAACTTCAGATGACTAGTTGTTTTATTCACATGAATAAAGATTAAGAATTCTTTTGGTGGAACAGGTATCATGATGTCGGTCGACTTTCTGATCAGCAAATGGCTCTGTTGCAATATCAGCGAGAGAACCTTCATTTTCTAAATGAGGAGGTATATAGTAACCTTATACACATACTTACCTCAAGATGGTTTGGCTCACAGCCGCTTCCTTTCGTCATGCTCTTCTCCCTGTTCCTATTGGAAAGAGCTCATTCAATTGGTGAAGTAGATATTTAGTACCCATTAGATGTGTAGCCTGTAACCTTTGTTCCTGAACCTCTCAGATTCTTCGGTTGCAAGAGTGCTTAAGTAAATATGAACGGTCTAGCGATGGAAGCACCCCTCAGGTGATCATTTTTAATCTGATATTTGACGTTTTTATAGATTTCATCTGTATGATACTTGTATAACTAAAGTTTGTACCGGTTTGTAAGATATCATTCTCGTGTGTGAACCTAAGAAGCACAAACACAAGCATGACGACACAACAATTTTTTAAATGAAGTTGGACACAAACATGTTGGAGAAATGTTTCTTTTTAGCATATATTGATATATTTAATATTTCATAATAAATACAAAGAAATTAAATTCAACATAAATATCGTTTGATCTTGAAGTGTTAGTGTTGGATGTGTTTTTAGATAACATTGTCGTTTGATCTTGATCTCCTGGTTTTGTTATCTACTTCATCAGAGTATATGAAAATGAAAATTTTCTCACATGATAGTCAATGATGAAGGAATATGTGAAGGAATGTAATATGAATGAAAATGGCTGTAGTTACCGGTGGCTCCTTTTTCAGGTTGACCTTGCCCATATGCTAGCTGCTCGTGATCAGGAATTGAGGACACTTTCAGCTGAGGTATGTCTTGCATACACTACTACGGTTATGCTTTTATTTCATTTTTAATAACATCCAACTTATGTGCATTCAACTAATTTCTTGGGATGTCAGATCCTACTTGTATTATTTAAAGATATTCGGTTTTACTGTCCTGTTTTTTATCACTCGGCCAACTTATGCTGGTTTGCTGTGGGTGTGCTTCCATGACCTTGAAGTATATTGTAAGCTTAAATGGTTGTTTAACGACTCAAGTTTACCACTAGCAAATATTGTCCTTCTTAGGCATTCCTTTTTGGGCTTCCCCTCAAGGTTTTTAAAATGCTGATAAGGAGAGGTTTCTATACCCTCATAAAGAATGTTTCGTTTCCCATGTGGGATCTCACAATCTACCCCCCTTCGAGATCCAATATCCTCGCTGACACGTCGCTTGGTGTCCACCCCCTTTGGGTTCAATGTCCTTGCTGACACATGGTCTGGTGTCGCTCTAACACCATTTGTAACGGCCCAAGCCTACCACTAGTAAATATTGTCCTCTTTGGGTTAGAGAGAAATTTCTACATCCTTGTAAAAAATGTTCTGTTCCGCTCTCCCACCAATGTGGGATCTCACAGAAATTACTTTGACCACACACGCAATCAGAATTTTCCATAACAATATGAATTATATGTTGCAGATGAATCAGGTAACATCAGAACTTAGGCTTGCTCGATCTGTGATAGCTGAGAGGGATACCGAGATTCAGAAATTACTCATCACCAACAAGCAGGTACTAATTTGAACATCATCCAAGCCGACATCCTCTCACACATTGCATATGGGCAAAACCTTCCATCTGTGAATTTAACATCTTGCTATCCATGAATAGTATGTAGAAGAAAATGAAAGACTGAGAGCTATTCTAGGAGAATGGAGTACACGAGCTGCTAAGGTATATCACTGCTTATTCTACCACCTTCATTTGATGGAACCAATAATATCTTCAATTCACTAAAGCAATCACCTTTTATCGTTTCGCCAAAGCTCGAGAGAGCGCTTGAAGGCGAGCGTTTATCAAATAATGAATTGCAAAGGAGGATTTCAACACTAAAAAAGCATCAGAGCAGCAGGGGAGTTGATGCCTAACCGCCTTCCATAGGGTAAATTTATTCTCCATTGAATATTGATTGAGCAGCAGACAGATTAGACCGAGTTTTCTCCTGCATTATGGTCTCCTACATTTGACCAAATGCAGGCAGCAGCTGTAAAGGAATGAAGGTTCGTTTTTTCTTTCTTTCTTTCTTTCTTTCTTTCTTTCAAGATCCTTTAGATTTATTTTATTTTATCTTATCCTCCTCTCCTCTCTCTTTTGGACTCGCGAGTCATGAATAAGCATCAATTTCTTTGATTCCTCACAACACGAAATGACCAGAAATGTATTGTAAAACTAGATAAATCAGGAATGAACTATTACAATATTATTGGATAATCGTGTTGCTTTTCATAAGTGAGGTGATGAAATAGAATATGTGCTGATTTTATAAGTGAGTTAATGTAATATTTGCGTCCTGATTCTATAGTCATACAAGCAATCAATCAATTGGGGCATTATGTGATGTAAGAAAACACTCATTTTGAAACATGATGGAAGCTATCTGGAATATCAATTTCAATACAAAACATGACATCAAATTAATAATACAAACCTCAACAAAAAAAAGAAAAGGAGAAAATCCTCCGGTATTTACTGTTTACAAAATTGAGCTGTGGTTCAGTTACAATGGAGTGGCATGCGTAGTTTCGTTTAAGAAGAGGCAACCAAATACGTCATTGTAGAATTCTCGACCTTTTATAATTCCATCTCCAAAAACATTTTCGACGTCGTACTTGCAAGCTCTGGTGCAATCAGGGCAGTAAGTCACCTAAACAAAGGGGATGAAAATTGCACGATTGGTAAAACAGCATAGACATTTGGCTCGAAAACATCGAAGGAAATAGAAAGCACGAAAAGCCATAAATGATCATTTGAATGATGATGAAAATCATCTCAAATAATGAAAGCAGAAACCAGATGGTATTAGTTCAAACCTCCAATAGCTTTGGTTGAAATGAGGAATCAAGCATCACATCTAGACCATACATGGCTCTAGAGAATGGACTATGCATCTCAGGGTGAACCATTGCAGCCGACTCGAAAACTGACCGGATCATGCTTCTCACTCTTGAATGGATATCCAACCACTTGACTGTAATATTCCCATTAGGACAGAGAGCTTTAGCTTAATTGAAAGAGAACCATTAATTGAACGTGAAGGATAGAATGTCGATGTCGATAAATTCAAAGCTTGCTTACCATTGTGCTCTTGCTCAAATTCCTTGACAAAGTCTGCTATGTTTTTATGATTTAATTTTCCACGGTAGTTCTGCAAGTAAAGCATTTGAGTCTATAAAAATGATCTAAAAATAAAACAGCATAATTGATTTCTCTGGGGCACCCAAAACTATAGTAAGCTAGACCGACTGCTCGATAAAGCTACATTTTAATGACAAATGATGGAGATTAGAACATACCATAACTGTAAAGTGAGTCTCGTACTCGAAAAGACTCTGCTTTTCTAAAGAATATGGATTATTTGCCAATCGAACCTGGAGAAGGGGAAGGAATTGAGTAAGGACTTCAACATGGTTATGCAAGAAAGATGAACAGAGGCATTCAAGAAATTTACAACCACAAGAATTCACATTACCCAAAAAGAATCTGCGAGGAAGATTTCCAAAGGCTTCATACTTCGTACGAGTACAATATAACGCAGATCAAACTTCTTCCCATTAAACAGAGCAGGATGCTCAATATACTTTTGACATATCTTAGGACCAGTTTCCATGAGACGGATAATAGCAGATAGGTTGTCGGTGACTGTAGTATCTATCGTCCGTGCCATATTCCAAGGTTTCAGTATCCATAAATTATTTAAACCATCTCTTTTACGCACAAGATAATCACCAATAAGTTGGGATAAATGTGTCTCGAGATTGTATGTAGGCTGCAACCATTCGGGACATCCATGTGCCTGTAAGAAAAGTGAGATTTCTTTGATTTAGCATCATTTGTGCAGGAAGAAATAAGAAGTATTGCCAACACTAGAGAAGGAAGAAATAAGTGACCTTTTAAAACTAAGTGTATATATATATATATATTATGAGTTAGTTTCCATAGTTTACCTTCTCCACAGTCTCTGCCAAATGATGTTTCATGACAAGACAAGCTTCGAAGGGAAATTGGTTTACATATTGCTGATCTGTTATCCCAGTAGCCTTCTTCGTATCCTCATCAATCTGCATACTTGTCCATATAATATCTGCCTCTTTTGGATCGCTAGCTGGAATGAAATAAATTGCACAATTTTTTTTAAAACTATCTAAGAGAAAGATCAAGATCAAAGTATTAAATGAACTACAATTCTTGGAACAAAACTGAATTTAATTTCTGACCTATAACTTGTCATGGAAAGGGAAAAAAAAAATCAATAACCACATACGCCTGATGAGATTGATTTTTTGGAAGTACTTTGGCTCAATCTACATTAGAGCAAAATACTAACGTGAGTATCCCACGTCGGTTAGGGAGGAGAACGAGAGTGTAGAAACCTACCCCTAGCAGACGAGTTTTAAAAACCTTGAGGAGAAGTCTAAAGCCCAAAGAGGACAATATCTACTAACAGTGGACTTGAGTTGTTACAACTAATGCATTCTGACATAATAAAAATAGTTCTAGTACGTACTAATTATAAATTCAGGGCGGTTTAAATATTCTTCAACTTGAGGATTGTCAGTGTAAACACGTAAAGTGCCTCCTTTGATCTGATGCCGTCCTTCCGTGTTTGATGTGGTTTGAGGTATGGGCAAAGCCAACGCTTTTGACTGCAGATTCCTGATGTATTTCTCATACTCCTGAAATAATTTCTCTACATTAGATTCGAACTTAGCAATGTCCCCTCGCAGCTATGGAAATGAATAAGATAAGGGATTTATCAGTAGGGAAGTACATGAACAAAATAGTTTTGTGGAGTATGAAACCAAGCTGTAAGTCTAGCAGACCGTTGTTTGTCCTCCCCAATGCCAAAGAGATAATCACGAGTGCATTCGTCACCTTTCTGAACATCGAGGATAGGCCATAATATGGTGAAGCTGGAAACAAAAATTAAATTATCATTTTTTCATAAAGGCGCAATAATACATAGAGCATGCTTAGAAAATGAAGGGAAAAAATAGGGAGTAAAGTAACCTTATGGCTGACGCTAGCTTTCCATCTGGCATGAAGAGGAAAGGAGCCACTCTGAAATTTGGCTCATCACTATGCCGCAAAGCTGAACCTAGCTCATCCATCACGTACCTGCAAAGAGCTCCAGATAAAAAGATTAAAACATGCCCGTGCTGGAAAAGGTGGAAAAGCAACTTGAATCTAGTTGATAAACAACATACCAAACAGAGGTTTCATCAATCTTTTCCTCATCTGCTAGTCTGTATGTCATCAAATATTGCCACATTGCATTTATAACTCGATCACGGAGAGGCTCTTCAGGAGTCCACTCAGGGAGGCGCGGCAGAAGCATTGAATCAATGACATGCTTTCCAGAATTCAATATTTTTTTTACGTCAATGCTATTCAGAGTATGCAGATTGGGGAGAGATTCAATAATGTCTACAGCCTTCTCTCCAAGAGGACCGGGAATATCCACCTGCAGAACCAAATATGAACGGTACAGATACTAACAGCTATTTACAAACAAACTCTTAGAGCAGGATACCATAGAAGATAGACTAATTTTGACAAATACCTCCAGAGAACTTAAGCAAGGAAATCCCTTCAGGATTTCCAACAAGTCACCAACTGAATTCTGTTCCAAGGGATTTCCCCGAAGATTCAAGTACGAGAGAGATGGCAACTCAACAGGAGAAAAGGCCTGAGAAGGATAACTGAGAGGATCATCAAACCATGTGAAACTAACTAGTGGTCATAACTGGTACATTCAAATGCCACAACCATCAGTCCAACGTTCAAGATAAATAGCACACATTCAAATGCCAAACCAGTGCTTAAGAGTTTACATTTCCTTCAAGATAATAACACACTAACAAGTATAGCTGCAGAATTCTCACCTTGTTGTTTAAATTGTGAATACATCTATGTGAAAGGTCTAGACTAGTAACGTCCTGCAATGAGTGATCAGCTGGGTAGATGCTTCCAGGATTATCCTTTTCATATATATCTCCACAAAAGCCCAATGCCCACTCAGAAAAGTTATGAGTAAATCGTGAGTTGTAGATTTCCAAATTTGGAGATCCATCAAGAACTTTCTGCTGCAGGATCTCATCACTGTAAAGGAAGCGTTCAGAACACTTCTGAAATGCATTCAATAATTTAAGCATGAAGACACGAGTATTTTGCTCCACTGGACTATCATACATACCAGTTTTCTACAGCAGGATTATTGTTCAACCAAAGTGCTCTAAGATGTTTAAATTTAGCAACTTCCTGAGCGACCACATCTACATTACTAAGCTTGTTTCCAGTCAAGCTAAGTGCCAGTAAATCCTAAATCAGAAGAAACAAAATGCACTTTTAAGACTAGTATATGAAAATATCCATAGCTACGAAATCAGAAACTAGAAAGTTACATTAAGAGAGATTTCTATTTCCAATATTACTGAAAATTTGTTGAAATATTCAGTATGCTATATCAAAATACATTCTCCTGAAAAGTGATAACATCAAAATTTTGATTACAAATTCTACTTTTTCTATAATATTCACAGGAAAACAATACGCATTGTAATTATAATCAACGCAATGCAACCAGTTCAACATTGAGTTTATATCAGTTTTCGATGATAACATTTTACGTCAAATTTTTTTCTCAACTGACAGAAATACCGGAAACTTAGTTGGCAAATCGAGGGACAAGAGTGTATCATCATCAATTTGAAGATCCTCAAGCTCCAACCATCTCACAGAGCCATTTCCTTCTTCTTTTGCACCATGTATTTCACTCTCCAATAGTTCCCAAACACTCTGTTGATCTACTTCTTCCTCTTTCACGTCCTCATCCAAATTCATGTCAACATCTACACACATCAAGGACGCCATTCTCTCGGCCAATCCCGGCACTTCCAGCAACTGTCCGCACGCAACCATTCCCCAAGTTAACAAGAGTAACTCACTTCAGTAACCTTAGAAATGAAGTAACAAATTCAGTATAAGAATATAACCTGATTGTAAGCGTCGGAGAGACGGAAAGTCCAGGCATGGTCGACGAGGAACACGTGCGATTCCTTGGCCATGAAGTCTGAGGAGAGGACGAGCCGTCTACAGCGCCCATCCTCGAACGGTTCGACTTGAAAGTGAGCGCCACCGTCAAAGGTCTCCGAAGTCAGTTTCTGAAACAGTTGACGGTGTAAAGATTGAGGAAGTCCAGAGGCAGCGAGGAGCAAACCATGGACTTCAACGAAATCCTCATAAGCTTCGATTCTATTTCCGGCGGCCATTTCTGGACGTGATATTCGCTGTCCTTTGCCGTTCAGTGGCGGCTTTGTGCAACTCAAAAGCGCAGAACTGAGCTCGGGCAACACGAGGAAGACAGTCAATCGCGGTGGGCTTTAAGAATCCATCATATGATGTGAGCCCAAGCCCATAGTTTTCGGCCTTTACGGCCCATTATATCTGAGCCCTAAACTCATTTGCGAATGTAAAATGTAATTTACCGCGGTTTAAAAACATTCCTCTCCTCTAATATCTCTCTCCTAATATCTCCCCATTTTTAAAATTATAAATTTAATTATTAAACCTTCCAAAAAATAATTAATTAAATTAAATTTAGAGTTTTATTTAGATTTTAATGTTCGTGGTGGACTTTGACGGTTACAAATGGTATTAGAGCTTTATACCGAGCTGTGTGCCATCTGTCACAATCACATTCTTGATGACAGCGGACTTGCGATTGTGCTTACGTCGCCTACGGTCAAGTGACGTATGCTAGAGCCTCTAGCCTCAGCTTAAGAAGAAGGTTTTAGAGAACGAGGGAAGAGAGATATTTTCGAAAGGGAGATTTTGAAAGAGACTTTATATAAGCAAGCAAGAGACTAACAATAACGGCTCACAGTATATAACCTTGGGTTGGGTAGGGAGAAGTTGACAACTAATCATATCCTAAATCGTACATTCTGAGACATTTAATGTCCGACAAGCCTAGGCATGATTTCTCTGAAACGTCATATTTTCTCAAAATACAAAAGTAAAACACTAGAACATGTAAAGACATAAAGAGTTTGGCTTGGCATGGGCATGCGGCGATGGGCAACATGACTTGGACGAGGTCACCGTGACACCAGAGCGAGGACGTTAGACCTCTAAATGGGGTGGATTATGAGATCCCACATTGGTTGGAGAGGAGAATAAAACATTCATTACAAAGAAATCGAAAGCTCTCCCTAACTGAAGTATTATATGTCGTGAGATAAACATTCCTTATCAAGACTTAGAAACCTATCCGAGCATTTAAAAACGAGAGGAAGCTCAAAGAGATCTCTCCCAGATGGTGAAATAACCATTCCTAAAACCTCAGAAAGCCCAAAGAGACCTCTCCCAGATTGTGAAATAACTATTGCTAAAACCTCGGGAAGCCCAAAGAGACCCCTCCCGGATTGTGAGATAAGCATTCCCAAAATCTCTTCTTGACATAACCATTTTAAAAACGAGGAAAATTACGGGAACGAAGACTTAGGTCAGCCGGGTTAGTATAGCCTTCAACTTATGACAATTTGTAGGGCTTTTGTTCTTTTTTGGTCCATCCTTACCTTAATGAACATACCCATATCACATGTAATCATAGATTAGGGTTTTATATTTTATTTGGGTAACTTTAAAGAAACCCAAAAACCCTCCAATTATATTTCAACCAATTCTTTTGACATTTATTAAACATTACTATAAAAGCCTAACCTTACTTGAAATGACTTCAAGACACCGCAATTTTCCATTCATATCATCAAACCCAAAAGCATTCCAATTGATAACAACAAAACCCTAACCATACTAACTTCATTTTTATGCCATATTTGGATGTCCTCGCTCTCATTCCGTATCGTTCTACTTTCAAAATATACGAGAAAAAGTTACATTGAAATAGGGTTTTCATTACTCGTGTTACGGGTTAGTATTCTTGACTCTAGCTATAAGCTATAGTAGTAGTTCCAGCTTGCATCAACTACAGGCTGCCCTAACGACCGACACTCTATCTCGAGACATACTCCTTACAAAGAACCAGGTTACCAAAAGTTCCGATATGTATAAATGAAGTTTTTGGGTCATCCTTTAGGTTTCAAAAGGGCATGCTCGATTCGATTCCTACTCGTTTCAATGAATTCATGACGGCCAGATTTAGATTGAGATAGTATAAAGGTAATCTTCCATCTTTAAATTTAAATTTTATTTTTATTTGTTTATGTTTCTATAAATTAAAATTTGGGAGTTTGAAATTGGAATAGAAATAAATGGCTTATCCTTTACCCTCAACGCCAATTTTTTCACCTTCTTCTTCCACGTTCATCTCTCAAGAGGAATTCAATTTATTCCACAAAATCGACAGACAACTGTACACCATACTCACCATCAACATTGGCAGAGACCCCATTGAAGCTCTGCAAATAATGGCGTTTTGGCTATGGCTCGAACGAGCCGGTTTTCACAACACCGTTTACCGAATGCTCAAATTGCCACTCAATTTTATCAACGACCTTGCCAAGGAAGCCGTCGCCGCTCTCGCCTGCATTGCCTCCGACCACCCACCGCCGTCCTCGGATGACCACAGCAATAATATTCCTCTCACACAAAATTTCATGACCAAGGAAATTTCTCTCCAGATTCTCTATGCCAACCGGACGGCGGCCGTTGAAGCGGTGGCTAAAATTCAGAACGAGGTCTGTTTTAGAGCTATGACAGATATTATGATCACAGCCATTAATCAACGACAACTCACAGCGGTGGCGGCCGTCGGTACCCCGTTGCCGCCTCAGCCGCCTTCTTTTCATATAGCCATTGATAGTAGAGATTGGGTGTGTTTTATTTATATTTTTATGATTAAAAAAGTTCAGAAATATTTTTATTAACTTCAGTTTTCTCATTTATTAAGGTACCGCCAGATGAAAGATCAATTTTTGTAACGTTTTCCAAGGGGTATCCGGTGAATGAGAGGGAGGTCCGAGAATTTTTCACCGTGAACTATGGCGATTGCATAGAAATGTTTCAAATGCAAGAAGTAGAGCCGAACCAACAAGCACTGTTTGCTCGTATAGTGTTTTGGTCAGCCGCTACTATAGACCACGTTCTTCAAGGACAGCCCAAAATGAAGCATACTATCAATGGAAAGCATATATGGGCTCGGAAGTTTATTCCAAAACCGCCCCTAGCCCCGTCTTTGCCTCTGCTCCGACGTAGGTCAATTTGAGTTGTATTTTCAAAGATGGAAAGTGATAGAATATTATTTGATTATTATTGTTTTTTAGATAAGTATGCATATAAATTAAATTTGAATAAAAAATTATTGGTCGAATAATGGAGGCAGATTCTGTAAAATAAAATAAAATATTTTATTTTTATTTCATTAAAAATATTTTTTGAATGATATTTTATCTTAAATTTTGAAAACAAAATATATGATTTTATATTTTTTTAAATTATTAAAGATATATCAAAATAATATAATTATTTGAATTATGAAATTTATTTTAAGATATATTCTTTTAACAGATCAAACTAAATGGCATTTTTTTTATTAAAAAAAACTAATTATGACTGTCTTATTTGTAGATAAACAAAAAAAAAATAATAATAAGATCTGTCGATATCTCATCTCAATATTATAAAACCAATAATAAAAATATATGTTTTAAAATAAAATATTAACTCTTTATATACGACACGACACGACACGATACGACGTTATTCATTTCGACAGCGAAATGAGCCACTTCGAATAGATTTATTGTTCCGGCCCAGAATACAATTAATCCGATATGGGCTACATGAGTCTCCAGTAATTTATCGAATAAATTAATAAGTCGGATATTCTCGATCCACTAAACGAAACCGATGGTTTCTTGGTCATGACCAACTAGCTAAAGTTCTATTAAAGAGTGTTTACGCGGGGGAGAAAGAACCTCCTCAGAAAATACTTTTGTTGAAGCTAAAAAATTAAAATAATTATAAGTTTATCGTTAAATTTTGAATTTTGTAGTTCTTAAATTACAAAAAAGTCTTTAGAATTTCTCTTCCATTATAGGATCCGAATTAGCACCAAATTCGCGCGTCATTTTGGTCGAGCTTTTGCGCCTCTCACTCCATCTATGCCTACGACCTTAATTTCTCTGGATTTGAAGGGGTTTTGGAGGCCGGATTTTGCTAAAATTTAGATGTGGAGAGAGCTGGAGAGTTTCAGGTTTCGTTGATTTACGTTTAATTTGCAGTGCCAATTGATTCGCTATGGATTCCGTATCAAGTCGCGAGGATTCTTGGGAAGATCTTTGCAGTCTCGGCATTGTAAGTCGCCTTCAAATTATGATATATGTTCCACAGTTCAGATGATTTCAAGATATGCATTATCTGCTATTTATAACTTTGGTGGATATAAATGCTGCCAAGTTTTTCTTAGATATTTCTTGCTTCTGTGGGCTGCATGTTTAGGGCTTTGCTGTGATTTATTTGATGACATTGTAGCTTTATAAGGTCTATAGAATGTGTCAATTATATCAATCTGTGGTTTGAATAGATTTTTGCTGAACATTGGTGATGCTTAGACACCTAGAATGAACTAAGGAAGTTGATATTTCCTTTGTAACTGTGATGCTAAAGAAAAATGAAAAGTTCACTGGCGCTGGCTGATACTAAGTTAAATTTGTAGGCTTCAATTATTCCTTGCGTGCCTGCAGATTTTGTAGTTTTTTTAGCATCTGGTGTGAGTGTAACATCTTGGTTGGTTGTACGTGTTTGAAAGTGATGTTGTTGCTAACTAGTACAGGTACACCGTGCACGACTTTCAACTATTGGTTTGTTTTGGAGTCTGAGTGAGGATTTTGAGCGTTAGAATATAGAGTTTATGTGAGATCTCAAATCGGTTGAGGAGGAGAACGAAACATTCTTTATAAGGGTGTGGAAATCTCTCCTTAGTAGATGCGATTTAAGAACTTTGAGGGAAACATGAAAAGGAAAACCAAAAAATGACAATATCTACTAGTGATGTGCTTGGGCTCTTGTAAATGGTATCAGAGCCAGATACCGGGTGATGTGCCAGCGTGGATTGGGTGTCCCACATCGATTGGAGAAGAGAACAACGGGGACGCTAGGTCCAGAAAGGGGGTGGATTGTGAGATCCCACCTCGGTAGAGGAGGAGAACGAAACATTCTTTATAACAGTATGAAAACTTCTCCTTAGTAGATGCGATTTAAGAACTTTGGGGGGAAGCATGAAAAGGAAAACCCAAAAAGGACAATATCTACTAGTGATGTGCTTGAGCTCTTGTAAATGGTATCAGAGTCAGATACAGGGTGATGTACCAACGTGGATTGGGGGTCCTACATCGATTGGAGAAGAGAACAACGGGGATGCTAGGTCCAGAAGGGGGGTAGATTGTGAGATCCCAACCACAAGAGGAGAACGAAGTATTTTTTATAGGAGTGTGGAAACCTCTCCCTAGCATATGTGTTTCAAAAATCTGAAGGGAAAGTTCGAAAGGGAAAGCTCAAATAGGACAATATGTGCTCGCAGTAGTCTTGGACTGTTACAGTTTAGCTGTTGTATCTCTCGAAGGTTGTATTAGTATATATATGTGGTTAAGTTTCCTCGATGTTATTGCAAGCATTTATGGTTCATGTGCCATTCTTAAAAGAATAGGTTGTAGTATATGAAACAGGGTAATACACTCCTGATTTTCACAAGCTCAGTTTATGTCAATTTATATACTCTTTAGATTGAAAGGATTTGCATTAAATATTTGGTTCAGTTTTATAATGCTCCATGTAATGAACACAAAGCCAAGCTTATGCTGAAGCCATTACATCCGAACGAGCATTGGAAATTATCTTCGAGCCAATTCGACAAGGCACACATCTTCAGGTACAAAGCTTCTAACTCAGCCAACCAAATCAATGTCTTTTAGCAACAAAGCCAGAGGCCCTCGTATATCATAGCTTAAAGGATATTATATATGATCAACTACACTCCATTGTGTTACCCAAAAGGAAGAAAGTGCTGGCAGCCTTATAGCTAGAGCCGCCAATGTATGTAACATTCGGATCTCTACGTGAGTTCACCTTTTCATATAAGGTTGATAAGGACATTTCACGAATCCTTCTCACTTGAAGTATGCATCAATTCTTTCATTCCATGTTCTCGGAGCTTGCTTCAGTCTATAAAAAGTCTTTTTCAATTTGTAAGTGATTCGAAAATAGAGGCGTCTCAATCTTTAGATTCTGAGCTGGATAGTGGCCGATAAATCACGGATTAGAGAGTCAATTTTAAAGAGATTCTTGTGATGATATCAAATTTTATCTTCTGTTTCTCAAAATACAAGTACATGTCTGTATTTGACGTAATTTTTAGATGCACGCCACTAGTTGGAAATGGAGGCTAGCTAACAACATGTCTGGTTGAATTCGACAGGGTTGTAGGCACCGGTGAATTGTTGTTTAACTTGAACTCATGAAGGCTGGACGGATACACAGTGATGAATCGACCCACCGCTATTAGGTATTGTCTGCTTTGGCTTGTTTTGTATCGTCGTTAGTTTCACGGTTCCAAAACGAGTTTGTTAGGGAGCGATTTCCACGCCCTTATAAAGAATGTTTCATTTCCTTCTTCAAACCGATGTAAGATCTACCAGTTACGATGTGAGATCTATCGCTTAACTCTCAGATCACCCATTTTTGAACTTGAGAAGATGACAAGCATAGCAGCTGTATAATTCAAAGCTTCTAAAGGATGAAAATGGCAGAGCAAAGTTTTCATCCAAAATTGCTTTAGATCTTGGAGGAAGTAGAAGCCTGCAAATACTCATGTTTTTGTAGTTTATTTGAACATGCAACTTAAATAATTGTTCATGTAAATCACATTTATTTAGGTTAAGTAATTCATAAACAAATAAAAAAATAAAAACAATACTGTAAAAATTAATATAATTTTTTTGGTCCTTCCTGAGATCTATTTGATATTTTAAATTTCTTGAACTAAATACAAAAAAAATTAATTTTATAATTTAATTAAAAAAAATCAATAAAAAGTAATAGGAAAGTTGTGGATTAGACTTACACATAATAATTTAATTTAATTATTATCATTTTATTATTATTATTATTATTATTATTATTATTATTATTATTATGGGCTGCTATCTAAAACTGCCACAAAGCAAATGGGTTCATTGTACTTCTATATTCGATCTTACAATAATTGAGCCTTTTGCTTTTTTTTTCTTTTTCTTTCTTTCTCTTTTAAGGGTCTTTTCGTCAATTCATTATCGTTCTCACTTCTAACTTATGTTTAATTTTAATTTAGTACTCATAATTTTATAAGTTCCCATTTAGTCCATAAATATTTTAAAATACGTATATGGTTACTTATTATTTTCCCTCCGTTTTCTATTTAAATTTGTAGTTTTATTATTATTTATAGCCTTTACATCCCTGTTCTGTAGGCTGTAAAATGAAACGGAAGGACGACTATTTGGTGGAAGTCGCGTCGGTACTTCACCGTTGAGAAATGAAAGAAAACATCTATTTTCAAGTTTGTAGCTCGATTCTTCAAACCGAAATACCCGACAAAAGTTAGCTTTTAATTTAAGGAGGTTAACACGGGCTTAGAAATATTTCTATTAATTACATGAAATAGAATTGAATTAGAAAAATAAGTAAAACATATTTAAATGTAAAGGCCAAATAAAGAAAAATAGGAAGGCTAAAGTTGGCATTAAAGTATCATATATTTGTCGGAAGATTTTTAGACTTATCCGAAGACAAAATTTGACCTCTAATTATAATTTATTTGCAGTAAGGTTTTTAGGGCAGTGGCTGGAGCTCCAACTGTTAAGGCAGTTTTTCTTTTTTTTTTTTTAAAAAAAAATTATTATTATTATTATTATTATTATTATTACTATTAAAGACAGAAAACTGGGGTCCACTAAATTATTTAGATTTTTGGATAAAATACGTAGAAAACGCCGCGGATTATCCGATCAAATGCCGTCAAATACTGACACGTGGCGTTCTTGTTAAGACGTGGCGAGATCTGAGTGGAGCAACCTAAGTTATAAGTACAAGGGAAGCGTAAAGAAAAAAATTAAATTAAAAACAAACATCGGTGAAATAAAAAAACAGAAAAAGAGGAGAAGACCGATTCTTCTGCTGCAAACGCCAAGTTCCGGCGCGGCGTTAGGGCGACACGGGAATCTTCGTGTATTCTTTCTGGTTTTCTCTTCTCTGTTAATCGATGTTTTAGGATTCTCTATATCTTCAATTTGTTGTTCGGACGTTATTTTTGGCTGAAGAACAAGGGGGATTGTTATTATTGCCCGTTCCGGTTCCGGTTCCGGCTCCGTTTTTTGTCTGTCCTGTTTGGAGGTTGAATTTGTGAGCTGAAAGCTCCTGTTTCAATGTCGGCAATCTCGATTTGCAGGCCGGAGTTTTTGGGATCCGTCCGATATGGATACCGGAACCTTAAATTTCATAAAAATGTCGCCTCGTGGTCTATGTAAGTTCGATTCTATTCTTCTTCTTCCGTTCGATTCTGGTACCAATTTTTTTCAACTTTATAATTTGATTTTCATCGCTGCCGTTCATTTGATTGGATAAGGTTTCTATTTATCTGTTCTGCTCGATGATTATTACAAAATCGTGTCAGTTGATTTCCGACTGGAACGGGCCGGTGATGAGTTGGTATATTGTTTTGATGGAGATTTCAATTTTTTTGAATTTGAATCAGGAAGATGGATTCTAAATCGCCTCAAACGGTGAAGGAAGATATTTCTATTCAGATTTCAACGCCACTGTTGCTACCGAAGTCGAAACCATCGACGCCAAACGAATTACGGTTCAATCGGCCGCCGCCAGGTGATCAAGATTTAGTTCACAAAAAAAGATTGGAATTCGGTCAATTTGTAGCCAGGGAGGCCGTGCTTGATGAAGAATTGTGGGTAAGTGATTTGAATCATTTGATTTTGTGCTTGATGAAGAAATTTTCAACCTCAGAACCTTAAAATCGTTCTGAAAATTTTGGACCATAAATAAGTTGTGGCGTCTGTGTGCTTGATTTTGTGGTAGACAGCGGCATGGCTTCGGGCTGAAAGTCATTGGGAGAATCGAAAAAATGAACGGTAAATGAACTTTGTTTTATTTTATTGAAAGAAACTTTGTCGCTTGTGCACACCTTATCTTCTTCTAAAACACAAGAACAAGCCAAAACCTGAAAAGGATAGTTTAAATATTCAATGATATCCTGTTAAGCATCTGAGAATTTATACAGAAATTGGACTTGATATCAAAAGGGGTAGCAAAAAGAAAACCAAGCTGCTATTGATAATACCAAAAATGTTCAGATTTCATTGCTCATAAGTTGTCAATAGTACAACGGAAATTGTAGATATGGTTTATTCAAGAAAGTGAAAAGAGTTGGATGCAACTGATTTGTAGCTCTGCTTTAAACACAGATATGTTGATAGCTTCAAAAGGAAATTTGCAGAACAGGTAGGATGGGTTAGATTTGTTTGATCTTCTTGAGTGGTTGAAGATGAATTGGTTCATACCCTTAATTTCTATATGTATCCAATGAATGTTGCAGGAGTTCAATGCCATTAAAAGAAGATGTAGTGGGCTTGGACAGTCATGCACATGCATTGTCACGGTGAGAAACTTTTGGCCATAATAAGTTGTAGCCGTGAAATTTTACCATGGCAACCATTCATTAAGCTCTGGTGGAATTGGCTTTGTTTTCTAATATGGACTTTCTCAGGTAAGCAAGGAACAGAAGCATATAAAACGCACGGTGATTAAAAGCGTCGTAGCCACTCTTGATATGAGCTTGCGGCATTTGATGCATGGCGAGACTTTTCCAGGGGTTGAACTCGAATTTATGTCGTTATTATCTACTTGCTCTTATCTCCCTTTCTTCCCTTTGGCTAACCATGGGAAGGAATGATCCTTATATACAGGAAAGAGAGAAGAGCCATGTATGCAGCATCAACAAAGAGATACCAAATAAATATGCATATGTTTCAAACTTATGCGTATCGAAAGCAGCACGTCGTCAGGGCGTTGCTAGCAATATGTTGAAGTTTGCAGTTGAAACAGCCAGATCCAGTGGTATAATCCAAAGAGAGATTAAATTCAATCAAACTATATGAAAATGCAATGCTTGCTAATATGGTTTCTGATAATATTTTTGGTGACAGGTATCGAACAGGTATACGTGCATGTACATAGAAACAACACACCTGCCCGACTATTGTACGAAAAGATAGGCTTTGAGGTAATCATCTACTTACGCATATAAAACTCCTTCATTCTTTATTGCGTTCCGCTTCACTTCGTGGAGTTTATACACGTTCCAATTTTCAGGTGGTCGAAATAGCAAGCTCACAATTGTTGGAAGAACAAACTTACCTTCTATGTATTAACACACGGAAGCTTGACAATGCATATTGGTGTTGATATTCATTCATAAGGTACTTGTACTGACATTGGAACTCACAAAAAGTGGTGAGTGCAATGAAATTTGGGGTGTTAAAGTAATACTCTACCATTCATGTAGCGTACATATTCTTTGCAATGTTTCTGCCAAAAAAAGTCCCTTGCACTCATAGTTCAGTTCATACACGAGTACAAAAAGGTTTCTTCTTAATTTTAAAAAAAGCTTGCACAAGTGAAAGGTTGGAGACTGACAAACACACCTGAAAACATCCAAAGAGTTGGGTGCACTTTAGAGCCTCAATAGTCAGTTTTCGACACCAAGATAGGTCGAGACTAAGCAAATTCTTAGAACAGGTAAGCAAAATTGCTGTGCAGTGGCTAACCTCCACAAACCCATATGTAACAGCCCAAGCTTACCGCTAGCAGATATTGTTCTCTTTGGGTTTTCCCTCAAGATTTTTAAAACGCCTTTGCTAGGGCGAGATTTACACACTCTTATAAAGAATGTTTCGTTCCTTCTCCAACCAATGTGGGATCTCACACTATAATTGTCCCAATCATTAAGGAAAACCGGCATCTTCCATCAACTCAACTTTAAAATCATTAATTACTAGCCTAACTTGGTCCAGAATGACCAGAAAAGCGAAGACAACCATGATGGAATTATGGACTAACATTTCCAAATTCATTTATGAAACACAACAGAAAATATATAGCTATATCCCATGAACTTTTCTAGGCTACTGTTCTATAATAGTCTTTATATCTATTGATTCAAGGAAAAAGAGAGATGGGAAATGGGGAAAGGGAGTTAAATACATACCCTCTTGACATTGTTCAATGAAAGTCCAAATTCTGTTTAGAAATCAGCCAAAATTGCAGATTTTAGTACCTCTAATCTGCCAAGTGTGAAAGCGTAGTGAAAAAGTTCTGAACAAATGATTATATAAACTGCTAGAATATCTAAAGCTCGTTTCTGATTTGGCTTGTATGGATTTATTGGTCAATTTCCTGCATCCAAAACAAAAAAAGAATCATACACATTGGTTAAAATGAGTTCCTTCAAACTTTGTCCCCCGTCGGTCCGATGTTCTTGGATGAACTCGTCACGAACATCTCCAATTCCTGTTACTAACACCACTTCCAAACTTTAAAGCTTCTTCCTTACAGAAATCATTAGAATTGGATGAATCTGTAGGTAATCGTAAAGATACAATTCCCTTCTGAGGAGGGAGCACTGGTTGATATTAAAGAATGCAATGCAGGAGAAGAAGACACAAGTGCAGCGACACCAACGTCAGAAAGATGATAAGCACGGGACAACAAGATGGCCGAGAAGTTGAGCATTTTCGGAGAATCATAGCCGACTAAGCTTCTGCCTGCAAGCATCTGGGACAAGTTCCAGTGAAGAAATTGCCCTCAGCAGACCCGTATGCACAAATCTCTCAACGAGGGAGGCAAAAGCTATGCCAGTTAGGGAGCCATTCAAACTGGTGCAGACCATTCGCTCAATCACTAGCGATCTTCATTGCAGTAGAGAAGGGCCCAGGCCAGTCTTTAGCTCTCAGCGCCAGTTCTTAGGACCATCATCGACCAGATGTGCAGTGCCTGAAGCCTCGGCTTGTATGGAGCAATAGAACTTCTGTAACCAATGTGTCCTTTCACCATTTTGTTCAACAGCATCTCCTTTGCAATGTAGCCATTAGCGTCCATATCCCTTCCATCTTTGTAACTTTGGTTTACCTTCAATAACTATTCCCTTCGGTCTTTCCACGAACGAACCGATAATTTAAATAACTAAAGTTCGGCTATGGACAACTTCAAAATTGCTAATGTGGGTACTGAGGATTATAGAGTCCGAAAGCACGACGAATTCCTTTTAAGATAGATTTTAAGATGACGACGACTACGATTGAGATGTTTTGGAATAGGTCTTAGTGAAAAGGACCACAAATTCAAGTGATGGACCTGAATTTCGATTCGGATTCGGATTCGGAGTTTTATCGAATAATTAAGTTTCGTGTAAGCCCAAGGGATGGATTCAAGCTTCATGAGGTATTGACTCTATCTCTCCCTCCCTGTGGGATCATCTTGAAAGGGGAGAGGGTAATATCATTGAAGGGTTTGAAACGTAGTCCCAAACAGGGCCGAGACAAACATGAACGTTGAACCATAAAGTTCTTGTTTTTCTTTATTCTAAATTAGGATTTAAAAAAAAAAAAAAACATAAATGGATGATTATTACAACCTTAAAGCTACCAAACACATGATACAGACAACACCATACATGATAAGACGACAGGGAAAAAACTACAAGGCACAGCCAAAGACACACCAACAACTAACAATAACGACTCTCTAATAAAAATCAATCTCTTTAGGAGACTTTTCTCTATCTGAGTTCATCTAACCACTTCCACCTAGAACGCCCTTAAGCTTTTTGATCGTAGCAGGATCCAAGAATGTCGTCTTCGCGACAATATCAGTCGGCAATTCGTTACCGAACAAGGCGAAGTCGAGAATTTGCAGCCCTGGGTTGGCACTACTAAAGCTAACAAATCCAAGAGCACCGCCCTTGCCGGAGTTTATTTGGAAATGTAGTAGCCCTTGAGGGAATACCATAATGTCACCTTTGTTCAATGTCTTGAAGTAGACGGTATTCGCCGACGAAACAAACCCGGCGCAGATTGTGCCTTCAACGACGAGCAGAACTTCGGAGGCAGCAGGGTGGGTGTGGAACGGTATCACACCGCCAACCGCAAGGTCAAGGCGAGCCAATGAGATTCCGAGGCCATTCACGCCGGGAAATTGAGCAGTGAAGGCTGGAGTCACAGCCGCCTTGATGAGATTTGACGTGTTACCTATGATTACAATAGTATATCATAATCCATCAACTTAAATTCGAACTACGTGATATTAGAGAAAACAATAATTCGACAATACCAGCAACACCGAGGCCAGAGTAAACAAAGTCCTTTTCAGTAACAAGCGACACCTTCTTGCAAGGGAAGCCAGCGGGCGTGTCGGGGGATTTGAGGTCGGCGACACAGAAGTCCTGGACGAGAGCGTGGGAAAAGGAGGCGAGGACGGAGAAGACGAAGAAAAGAGGAAGCACCATCTTGTTAGCCATGGATAACAAAGTAGGGGAATGAGAGGCCATTTATATAGAAGTAGGGGGAGGGAGGTGTGCAAGAGGATAACAATGGCAATGGGCTAATGAGACATGATCCATTCCCATGCGCCATTTTGTGGCATAATTGAAAGGGTGTGGTTTAAGTTTTGGACAAAAATTTGTGAGCTGTGAAGCATGTGATTCGGGTCTGAGTTTACATTGAAAAGACGACAAAAAGTTAGCTTTTTGTATGGTGTCAAAACCAAATAACGAAAAAAAAAAAAAAATATCTCGAACAAAAAATATCTCTGTTTAACTCAAAAATTCCGTTCAACTTTGAGTATTTTTATTTGATTCTCGAGTTTTTGAGGCACATTTAAGTTCCAAATTTTTTAACTTAGTTTCTATTTGGTTCCCGAGATTTTAGATTTTGATCATTGAAATTTAAATTTTGATTTTATTTGGTTACGTAAATTGACCTAATGAAATGATGACTTGATAGTTAATATATGCTAACTCGACTTTGATAATATGTATTTTTTATTTTTTATATACACGTGAATCAATTAAAATCAAATCCAAACCGTGAAGGACAAACATGTAATTTTTAAAATTTAAGGACCTAATAGAAACTAAATTCAAATCCGAGAGACCAAAAGTGTTAGTTAGACTAAATATAAACTATGTTTAAGTAGAAAATAAAAGATTTCTATGTTAAAGGCAAAAACAAATGGTTACCAAATACGAGCTAAGTTTTTGGTGGGTGTGTGATTCAGTGAAACCCTGCAACTTGTGATAACCTCGTTATAAGCCTGATTTAATCTAAACCCTAAAATCATTCGTATATTTAGCTACACGAGCGTTTTCATGATCTCATTCTCACTTATAGGCTTTCAAAAAGAGCGAGCGTAAATTTTTGGTCGAAGAACCACTAATTTAAAAGATATTGAAAAAGAGAGAAAAAGCCAAAGTGGGTCCATTCCATAGTCACATGAGTAAGAAAACGAGGTAGAAAATAATGGAAGGGCAAAAGAAGACATAACAATACAGCTAGCTTTGGATTTGCAAACAGCCAATTACATATCTTCTTGCCTCTTCTTTCAATTTGAAGCTATGCACAGATTTGTGTGGACGACCAAGCTTCCCTATCTTTTGGGTTACTCTCTTTTTACCCGCTTACATTTTTGTTGGATTTTCTCGTAAATAAAAAGGGTCGGTTTACGTTTCAAAATTATTCGAAACATCAAGAGTTTTAGTAGAATTCTACCCGATTCGAGTAGCTTTACTGAAATTAGTCGTTGTATCACGATGAGAAAGCTATAGCTTGCTTTCAACTCGTGTTTTATAAACTTGTCTCGACTACTAAGTGACTTTATCACAACATCTCAAAGTTATGTTCGTTTTTCTTTGAAATTTACTGTCGTATGTGTTAGGTAAGGCAGGTATATATTTTACAAGGGCACATTGGTAAAGATACACAAAATAGTTAGAAGAACGGAGAATATATGTTTTGAAAGTACTTTATAATTTTTTCGAAAACCAAAAACTAAAGTACATTTTTCATATCTAGGGGTGACTTTTTAGCTGTGTGACTAAATGTAGTCGGTAAACACTAATTATTAGCGACATTTTGTAAATTAAGTTCATTAAAATTTTCAACACGTTGTGGTTGGTGTCACGGTCATATATTTTTTTTAAGACGTATTGTCCATGGCTGCATGTTCATTACAAACTTTTTAACTTGCTTTCATGGTATATCTTTCATTACAAGGACCCGACTAATTGTCAAATCTTCTTACTCTATTATATGCTATCAATATGTTGTTACTTATTTCTTAAAATCGTTTTCAAAAAATGGGGGAAGAGCCTATGAGATAGTTTCATTTGTGCGGCCAACGAGCCAAATTTGAGTGGGTTGATTTAATCAAGAGTGATAGTAAGTGTCATATAATCGTTTTGTGAGTTTCAAAGAAGTGTGATCGTCACCGTTGATATCAAAGCTGAGTTGACACTCAAGAGTGGAATCAAGAAACATGTTGATAAGAAATCATTACAAAGAAAGTAAGATTCAAATTATTTTGTTGATCAAATATCTTAAGGAAAACTTGTTTCAGATTTAAATCACTCCAAAAGCAATATCGATCATGACAAGCTTGAATTATTCTAAACATGCAATATAAACTACTTATAATTGCAAATAAACTTAGCCCTTCACTCCAAATTATCATTGTGATATCTCACATTAGTTGGAGAGAAGAACGAAGCATTGTTTATAAGAGTGTGGAAACATTTCCCTAATAGACACATTTTAAATCCTTGAAGAGAAGTCTAGAAGAGAAAGTCCAAAGAGAACTATATCTACTCACGGTGGGCTTGTATTGTTATAAATAATATTAGAGCTAGACACAGGACAATGTGTCAACAAGGATACTAGGCCCCTAAAGGGGTGGATTGTGAGATGCTACATTGGTTGGAGAACCCTGTAGAACCTCTATTTAGTGAACGTGTTTTAAAGAGAACAATATCTCCTACATCTCTCCCTAAAATCTATATGTTTAAAAACCTTGAAGAGAAACTCAGAAAGAAAAGCCCAAAAACGACTTAAAACCATTTTATAATTTAAAAGGCTGAAGTGTTCATAATAATAATAGCATTTGTTTTAACTTTCTACATTACTAATCACGAAGATTTACCGAAAAAAGAAGAAGCTAAAATAAGCTAAAATAAGAACTAACGTAAGAAGACCTAAAGAGGACAATATCCCTTAGATATTTTCAAAGGCGAGAAAGAGACCCAAAATATGGATAGTCTGTGTAGCCAACAACAGGATCTTGTGTATAGAACGTCTTCCTAACATACTTGTTGAGTGGTGCATTGAGCTTAAATCTCATAGCCAAGTCAGGGTTCGCAATGAACAGCCTACCATACGACACCAAGTTGGCGTCTCCATTCTCGATCACTTGCATTCCCAATTCCCGAGTGAACCCGCCGCTGCAAATGAATGTTCCTTCATAAGCTCTTCTCAAACTCCTCATGAACTCAGCCTCTGCGTCTTCACTTCCAGGCCTGCCTGACTCGGTCTGGCCATAGGCCGTGTACCGGGGCTGAGTTACATGGACATAACTTAGCTTTCCACTGATTTTCTGTTGAAGTTTGTTAAGTTGATCGACGACATGTAGTCCTAGCTTGAGAGGATCGGAATCCATAGCGTCGAGGTGATCGATGGCTGGAGAAATTCTAACACCAACTCTATATGCTCCTATAGCAGAAACCACGGCATGAACTACCTTCAACAAGAATCTAGACCTGTTTGAGAGACATCCTCCGTACTGGTCGGTTCTGTCATTTATACCATCCTTCAAGAACTGGTCCAGGAGGTAACCGTGAGCTGAATGGATCTCAATCCCATCGAACCCTGTTCAAAATTTATCTCTAACATTTGTTACTCTATCATATTCACAAGAATAAGGGCAAGCTAATTGTAACGACTCTAAATTTCTATATATTAAGAGTCGCTATTAACGTCTCATAAAAGGGGTGTAACACGAGGACTTCCCAAGTAGTCACCCAACTTAATACAAATCTCGTACAAACATGCTACGAAGTTCTGATGGGATCCAATTGAGGCGTAGTAACAACTCTGAATATATAGAAATTTAGGATTGTTA